CCCCAGTGGGTCTAAGCCACCAGTTGAATATCCTTAGTGCTGCTGTGGGTGGGCCTGGCTTTTGGCTGATCGGTGCTCTCCCTGTGAGATAAGGCCAAAACCACTCTCTGACATCCCCTGAGGGTCCTGGATTGCGAGAGGACACAGGCCAGGCAGAGGGACCCCACAGAAGCCAAGGAGAGACGTGGGAGGTGAGCCAGCTGGGGAGGGCCCAGGGGGTGCTCCAGGGCATGTTTGGTCCTTTTCACTCAGTCTTTTTTTTTTTTTTTTTTTTTTTTTTTTTTAAATATATTTTATTGATTTTGTACAGAGAGGAAGGGAGGGAGATAGAGAGATAGAAACATCGATGAGAGAGAGTCATCGATCAGCTGCCTCTTGCACACCCCCTACTGGGGATATGCCCGCAGCCAAGGTACATGCCCTTGACCGGAATCGAACCCGGGTCCCTTCAGTCCCCAAGCCGACGCTCTATCCATTGAGCCAAACCAGTCTCGGCTTCACTCAGTCTTGATCAGCTGGACCCCAGCAGCAAGCTAACCTACTGGTTGGAGCATCTGCCCCCTAGTGGTCAGTGCATATCATAGCAACTGGCCAACTGATTGTTTGCCCCCTGTTGGTCAGTGCATGTCATAGTGAGCAGTTGAGTGACCTTAGCATATTACATTTTGATTGTAGTTTATTAATCTAGCCTGACCAAAATTACCTTTTAGTTGTAATAGCCTTCCAATTTATTTTAGGTAGCCAATTTTGTCATCTAAAAATGTGATTAAATTTACTTTTACCCAATACATGAATCTATGGTTGGTTTTTCTTCTTTGGTTGCATTGTTTGAAATTTCAGAACAGTGATGACATACATGACAGTAGCAGGCATATTTGTCCTCTGTATGAACCTCAAGCAAAGGTCTGAATATGAATATTCCTCAAACATTTTCTTTGTTAGGTCTGATATTAGATGATGATGAAGGAAACTATTTTATGATAGTTAAAAAATAATCTTACATTTTCTCAGAACTGTTTTTATATAACATCATTTCATATTTTTTAAGATGATGCTATTATATTTAGATACTTTTTCTATTAATTTATTCTAAGATAATATATTCTCAATATTAGAGGCTCATGGCTTTCATGGGTGAACTACTTTTGTTCATAATTTAAATCAGGTAGTCTGCACTTCGTACAATATCCTATAGACTTGAAGGGTGCCTTTGGAAGAGAATTGATTGTCAGGTTATTGGAACCAAGAGCGGAATCCAAGGACAGTTCATGTCTGGCCCTCCACTCAGCTATTTCTCCTAGAGCTAAGTTTTGAGGTACTTCAGGTTGACTTTAGTGGACACTGGCTTAGGGAGAGTTATACTGGGAGGAAAGTCAGGATGGTGGATGGTCTGACAGTTAAATCAGCCAGGGTCTGGGGAGACTGAGCAGAGCCTGCATGCTGTAGATTTCTTAGATCTTCTCACTAACAGGAAGAGAGCCAGATTTAACACTTCTTTTAGTTTTACAATTTGGTATCTGATTTAGTTACTGCCCATGTCTGAATCTACACACTTAAATCAGGGGTCAACAAAGTACTCCCCAAAGAGCAAATCCCACCCACAGCCTGTTTTTGTAAAGAGGCTTATTATTAGTAGGGTAATGGTAGCCCCATAAAGATATATCTACATTCTAGCCCCCAGTACTTGTAAATGTGACCTTATTTGAAAAATGGCTCTTTATAGATATAATTAAGGATCTCAAGATGAAATCATCCTGGATTATCCAGTTGGTCCCTAAAAGCAATGACCAGGCTCCTTATAATATATAGAGTGGAGAGGCACAGAGAAAAGAAGACCATATGTCTCCTGAGATCGATGACTCTCTCTCATCGATGTTTCTATCTCTCTATCTCCCTCCCTTCCTCTCTGTACAAAATCAATAAAATATATTTAAAAAAAAAAATCATCTAATATCAGACCTAACAAAGTGCAGGGATGTTTGGAGGCACTAATAGCAGGATGAGGCAAGGGGCACAGCCTCCCTTAGACCCCCTGCAGGGAGTGCAGCCTTCCTGACATCCCGAGTTCAGATTTCTGACATCAAGAACCTGATGAGATATAAATTCCTGTTGTCTTAAGTGACCCAGATGGGGCTTAGTTGTTACAGAACCCACAGAAAATAAATACCTATTGTACATTCAAGCCCATCCTTGTGGTTATTGTCTACAAGTGCTTTCACACTGTAATGGCAGAGTTAAGCAGCTGCAACAGAGCACTGATGGTCCAACAATAATCTTTACTTAGCTCTTTAGAATATATTTGGCAATGACTGCTCTAAGTCACGATCAGGTGCTGGTTTTATATTCAAAGTACTCTTTCTCATTATAAAGAAATGCTCTGAATAGCCTCGCTGCCCAGAAAATAAAAAGTACTTATGTGAGTTTAAGGATGTGAATGCACTTATTCCAGATGAAAAAAATTGAATAATTGCATTTGGAGAACTTGTACAAAGGAAACTACCTCTGCAGCCAAAACAATTTACCCCTCATCAAGTGCATCTTCAGAATTGATCTCTGGTTTTCAAAGTTGAGATCAAGGGGAAGTTTCTGGGAGGTTCCTGTTTGGATGGGTGTGGTCAGGGACATCACTGAATCTCTGGGTCAGACACTCCATGTGACTCACAGCAGCTCAGAAACTCATGATGTTATCCTGTCCATGTGTCCTGCATGAGAGCTTACATACCCTGGGGATATGTTCATTCCAGGGGAGGTGGACCCATCAGTAGGAAGGGAATATGCATCTGGCCCCCAAGGTGAACCCATGGAGACCAAACTGGCAGAAAAGTTGCCTTTTATTTATGGCCACTTGTCTTTAAGGGAGCTGAATTGCTTAGAGAACTGAGCAACAGTAAAACCATTTATTTAATGAGGAGCTCTGAGAATTCGGCCTCAGACCTCCCTCTGAAGACTCACCTGCAGTTCCTCAGCCATGGATAAGAGCATCCTCTCTAAGATGTTCAACTGCTCCGGAAAACTAGAACCTGACCTGCATTTCTTGCCCTTTTCATATGAATTGTTTAGGAAGGAAGGACCGGAAGAGCCAAATCCAGTGAGTGATGCCATTTGGGGTGTCAGAGTGAGCCACTTTGGGAAAGCTTCCTGGGGAGAAGTAGAGCTTGTAATAACCTTGTCTTCTGGGGGAACAGTCAGGCTGATGAAATAGTGAAGGATCCTGCACATTTGGTGTCCTTAGCTCTGAAGGGCTTTCTTGCAACTTATTCCTTCTCAGCCCCTTTCTTCTCACCATCTCAGAGCACAAATCCATGGCCTCTCTACCCCCACAGCAGGAACTGACTCTCCTTTCTATCTGCTCAGATCTCAGGATTTTGCTTAATTTCAACCTTTGCCTTTCCTTTCCTTTTTTTTTTTTTTTTTTTTTTGTGTGTGTGTGTGTGTGTGTGTGTGTGTGAAGCATTGACAGAGTGAGGCAGCCTTGCAGAGTAGAAAAGTATTGACTTAGAGTCACGGAGGTGTGACTTCCAATTCACTCTTGTACAGCTAGTGCCTGTGAACCTGGGAACTCTTCTTACATTCTGTGGGCCTTTCTCTCATCAGCACAGAGTGAGTAGAAGGAGATCTCTGAGAATGCTCACGGACCAGCAGGTGCCATGCATCAAGTGCCCAGGACCAGTGCACCTGGTTCTCTGCTGGGCTCTTCACTCTTATTATTTTCCCTCATTAGCAGGAATTGGACTTTTATTTTTTAAATATATTTTATTGATTTTTTACAGAGAGGAAGAAAGAGAGATAGAGAGTTAGAAACATCGATGAGAGAGAATCATTGATCAGCTGCCTCCTGCACAACCCCCACCAGAGATGTGCCCACAACCAAGGTACATGCCCTTGACCGGAATCGAACCCAGACCTTTCAGTCCACAGGCCGATGCTCTATCCACTGAGCCAAACCGGTTTCAGCAGGAACTGGCCTTTTAAACTGTTCTTCCATTTTTAAAAAAAATATTTTATTGATTTTTTACAGAGAGGAGGAGAGAGGGTTAGAGAGCTAGAAACATCGATGAGAGAGAAACATCGAACAGCTGCCTCTTGCACACCCCCTACTAGGGATGTGCCCGCAACCAATGTACATGCCCTTGACCGGAATCGAACCCGGGACCCTTCAGTCTGCAGACCGATGCTCTATCACTGAGCCAAACCAGTTTTGGCTGTTCTTCCATTTATTGCAGTGAATTACAGATTATTTTTACTGTGTCCCAAAACAAGACATACCTTTTACATTGTGATCCAGCATCATTTGCACATACACCCCCTCCCATACACACACTGAAAAAAGGGAACCATATACTCTCACTATGTATCATGCACTCTAATATTTTCTTTTCTGCCTTCTTGACTCTATTTCACTCCACCATTCTGAACCCTTTTTGAGTCTTGAAATACCTAAAACAAGTGTCATCTCAGGACTTTGACACTGCCTCTTTTGCTACATAACCCCTACCCCAAGTAACCACATGTCACCCCCTCTGTCTTCCTTGAGGTCTCTGTTCAATTGTCCCCTTGTTTGCAGGGCTTCCCAAACTCCCAGTATAAAATAGCACTCCATCCACTCTTTTTAATGCCTACTGTATTTTTTTAATTCACATGACACCATCTGACTTGGCATATGACATATTTGTTGTATATATTCTTTCACTATCATTATATTCTAGGAATTTTGTTTTTGAGCATCCTGTACACTTTCCCTAGAGGTGGGAAATGTCAATAAATATTCTCCAAGTGCATGAATGCATATCTCATGAAGACAGTGTAATGCATGACCACCTTGGGAAAAAAATTTGAGGAGGACAGAAGTTCCTAATCAGAGATGTCATTGAAGATGAGATGTACAAAAATAAAATTGTTGCCTTATTACAAAATGTAATTGTAGCATTTAAACTGTGCTTGTGATGGCCTGTTGTATAAAAACTAATCATGCTGTTTTTTTCTTTCCTACTAGTCACCTCCAACCCATGGGAACTGGGAATGATACTCTGATTTCAGAATTTCTTCTTCTGGGATTATCAGAGGAACCAGCACTGCAGCCCCTCATATTTGGGCTTTTCCTCTCCATGTACCTGATCACTGTGTTGGGAAACCTGCTCATCATCCTGGCTGTCAGCTCAGATTCCCACCTCCACACACCCATGTACTTCTTCCTCTCCAACCTGTCCTTGGTGGACATTGGTTTCACCTCCACCACCGTCCCAAAGATGCTGTGGAACATCCAGACACAGAGCAAAACCATCACCTATGCAGGCTGCATCACACAGATGTATTTTTTTCTACTCTTTGGAGGACTGGATGACTTCCTTCTAGCTGTGATGGCCTATGACAGGTATGTGGCCATCTGCCACCCCTTGCACTATATGGTGATCATGAACTTCCGGCTCTGTGGACTGCTAGTTCTAATGTGCTGGATAATGGGTACCCTGAATTCCTTGTTACAAAGTTTAATTGTGTTGCCATTGTCCTTCTGTATGAACTTGGAAATTCCCCACTTTTTGTGTGATGTCAAAGAGGTGGTGCAACTTGCTTGTTCTGACACCTTTCTTAATACCTTGGTGATGTATTTAGTATCTGTGCTTTTGGCTGGTGGCCCCCTCGCTGGCATCATTTACTCTTACTCTAAGATAGTGTCCTCCATACGTGCAATCCCATCAGCTCAAGGGAAGTATAAGGCATTTTCTACCTGTGCATCTCACGTTTCAGTTGTCTCCTTATTTTATGGTACAATCCTAGGAGTGTATCTCATATCTGCTGCTACCCGCAGCTCACATTCAAGTGCTGCAGCCTCAGTGCTCTACACTGTGGTCACACCCATGCTGAACCCCTTCATCTACAGTCTCAGGAACAAAGACATAATGAGGGTTCTGAAAACATTCTTTGGGATGGCAGGTACCAAGGGTCCAATCATCCTGGAGTAAAAAGTGCTTTTGATTTTGGGGCTATACAACTTAAAACCAGAAATTGACTCTTCAATCACATTGTGATTTTTAGATTTGCTCCTTTTATTTTTTTTTAAACATATTTTTGTTGATTTCATTGAGGAAGGGGGAGGGAGAGAGAGAAACACCAATGATAATAGAATAGTCTTGATTGCCCGCCTCCTGAATAGCCCTGACTAGAAATTCAATGGATCCCTCCTGGTTCAATAGGTTGACACTCAGCCACTGAGAAACATGGGCAAGGCCAGACTTGCTCTTTTTATTCTGACCTGTCGGTAGAATAGGAATAAGTGATATTACTCATGTAGAAAAACTTGGCTACCTAATCCATTGTATAATTTCATTCCACAAAATCTGAAACCTCAGTTTTCATGAGGTGTTCCTCATTCTCCATACATTGGGACCTTAACTACTTTTCCTGATATTATAGATTTTATCGTTGTTCCCTATAATCTCCGTCTATTGAGAGTGATGCAATAGGATAGGAATGCCTGGCCACTGGCCTGGTTCCAACTGCTTGTTCCTCAGACCAGAGTCAAAGTCCTGGGTGGATGAACTCTTGTGTTCCTTCTTATAATTACAACAACCATCATGGAACCAGAAAAACATAAGGTCCTGATGCCCAAAAGCCACACAGGAAGCTGTGTGTATGCGTGTGCGTGTGTGTGTGTGTGTGTGTGTGTGTGTGTGTGTGTGTGAAAGAAAGATTGAGAAATGGACTTGGGCTGAAGGACTCTGCCTCTATTGGGGATCAAGGGAAGGATGGCTATGGTTCTGTGAGTTTGCTTTTTAAAAATGTATCTTTATTATTGAAAGTATTACAGATGTCTTCCTTCCCTGCCCCTCTCATTAATCCTACTCCTCTCTCTCCTTCCCTCCCCAGGCCTTCGGCCCACTATTATCTGTGTCCATGGGTTATTCACACATTCATAGAAATTCTTTGGTTAGGGAGGATGGATATGTATGGGAGGGGGGGCAATGGTAAACTATGTACACCGATAATAATTTAATTTTTTAAAAAAGAAGTTCTTTGGTTAATTTATTCTTCCTCCCCTTCCCTCTGAAGATCCAGTTTGTTATATGCTTCCATGTCTCTGGATCTATTTTGTTTGGCACTTTGTTTTGTTCAAGGATTTCACATATAAGTGGGATCATGTGATACTTGCATTTCTCTGATTGACTTATTTCACTTAGTATAATACTCTCCAGGCCCCTCCATGGTACTTCAAAGGGTAAGAGATCCTTCTTTTTCACAACTGCATAGTATTCCATTGTGTAAATGTCCCACTGTTTTGTTTTATTTATTCTTTATCCATTCTTCAATGGATGGGCACCTGGGCTGTCTCCAGATCTTAGCTATTGTAAATAAAGCTGCTATGAATATAGAGGAAAATATATTCTTTCTTTTAAAAAATATTTTTATTGATTTCAGGGAGGAAGGGAGAGGGAGAGAGAAATGGAAATATCAATGATGAGAATCATTGACTGGCTGCCTCCTGCATGCTCCCTACTGGGGATTGAGCCCACAACCCAGGCATTTGAACTTGACCAGAATCAAACCCAGGACCTTTCAGTCCACAGGCTGATGCTCTCTTCACTGAGCCAAACCAGCTGGGGCCATATAATCTTTCTGATTAGTGTTTCAGACGTCTTAGGCTATATTCTTAGAAGTGGGATCACTGGGTCAAATGGCAGTTCCATTTTTTAAAATTTTGAGGAAACTCCACATTGTTTTCCACCTTGGCTGTACCAGTGTGCATTCCCACCATTAGTGTACTAGGGTTCCCTTTTCTCCACATCTTTATAAGCACTTGTTGCTAGTTGACTTATTAATAGTAGCCATTATGGCAGGTATGAGGAGGCACCTTATTATGGTTTAATTTCCACCTCTCTGATGATTAGTAACTTTGAAGGTATTTTCATATGACTGTTGGCCATTTGTGTGTCCTTCTTTGTAGAAGTGTCTATTTAGATCTTCTGCCCATTTTGATTGGGCTGTTTGTCTTCCTTTTGTTGAGTTGTATGAGTACTTTATATATTTTGGGTTTGCTTTTTATTTAAGACCCAAGAGCAGAAATTAAGGCAGGGGAAGGAAAAGCAGGGTCATTCATTTGGTCAGTTGTCTAGGTTACTCAGGGTTTTTAAAGGGGGAATTTTATAACATGTTAATTTTTGTGCAAATATAACTAAAATTCTGTGTCTGTTTCTGTGTGTAATTCCAAATGAACTACACACATATATATCCCTAGATATATCTATTGTCTAATGTGAAGTTTCTCCCTTTGTTCATTTTGAAAATATTTCTAATTAAAAATAAAATTGCATATATTAATTATTCCAAAAACAAAATCATTAAATTTAAAATACAATGAAAACTTTAGTAAGGAAGTTTTCATATATATATGATTCAAGATTGCCTGGTGTTTTTCTATGTTTTATTGAATTAGCTTTATGTTTCTTCTTGAAAACTTTCAGTGCTGCCTATAATATCAATCTCTTTATTACTATAAATAATTAAAACCTCCTTTCTGAATTTTCCATAAGCGTGGAAGGGATGGTGAATGACTATTATCAGTTACATTGGATATGTATCTCTATTATATTCATGATTCTACTAATCTTTAATGATCAAAGAATAACTCGAGAGAGCTTGTATTCTTGTTTAGTCATGTAAATCAGAATCACCAGTTTTCCTCCACAAACATGCATGTTCTTTCCATCTTTCATTGCTATAGGGAAATGAACTCTCGACAGTTTTTATTTTATTTTTAGTATATATTTTTATTGATTTCAGAGAAGGGAGAGGGAGAGATAGAAACACCAATAATGAGAGAGAATCATTGATTCGCTGCCTCCCCCATGCCCCATACTGGGGATCAAGCCTGAAATGTAGGCATGTGCCCTGACTGAAAATTGAACCAGTGACCTCTTAGTTTATCAGTCAATGCTCAACCACTGAGACATGTAGACCAGACAAGCAAAATATTTTTTAAATTTAACTGTAATAAAGTAGTATACAGTAAAATGAATTTTTTGTTGTTGTGAAGAGTTTATATATGTGCTGGAATGTATAGAAGAATTTTTTTATTTTTTAAGAATTAAAATTTTTTTATCTTTCCAGTTGTCAGAGAATTGGGTTCTAGTATTCTTTTTAAAAATTGTTTGAAAATTACCATACGATTGAGCCAACAGTTATAAATATGTTTATTATTTTATTTTATTATTAAATTATTATCTCTGTACATATACCATTGCCCTCCCCCCTCCCATACATGTCCTCCTTCCCCAGAGTTTTGTGTTCATTGGTTGTATTTATATGTATACAAGTCCTTCAGTTGTTCTCTTATCTTTCTCAGATCTTTATTGATATTTAAAAGAACAATATCTTTGCTGCTTGTTGGGTTTCAACAATATTCGAGGATATATAGTATATGTAGTTCCATTGTTACTAATCTCCTTACTCTTCTGACTTAATTTGTAAACTGAATTTCTTTTTAAAAAATTTTTTCTTCTTTTTTTAGAGAGGAAGGGAGAAGAATATATTCAGAAACATCAATGAGGGAGAAACGTTAATCAGCTGCCTCCTGCACGCCCCCTACTGGGCATGTACCCACAATCAAGGTACATGACCTTGATAAGAATCAAACCTGGAACCCTTTATCCACAGAGCCAAACTGGTCAGGGATGAATTTCTTTTTAAAAAATTCTTTATTGTTCAAAGTATTACATGTATCTCATTTTTTTCTCCATTGACCTCTTCCTGACCATTCCTACCCTCCACCCAAAACAATCCCTACCCCCTAGTGTTTGTGTCCATTGGTCAGACTTGCATGCATACAAGTCCTTTGGTTGATCTCTTACCCTTCCCTGCTTCCCACCCTCTCCTGCCTGCCCTCTGAGGTTTCATGGTCTGTTAGATGCTTCTCTCTCTCTGGATGTATTTTTGTTCATCAGTTTATATTGCTCGTTATATTCCACAAATTAGTGAGTTCATATGACATTTATCTTCCTCTGTCTGGCTTATTTCACTTAGCATAATGCTCTCCATGTCTAACCATGCTGTTGTTTATGGTAAGAGTTCTTTTTTTTTACAGCAGCATAGTATTCCATTGTGTAGATGTACCATTGCTTTTTAATCTACTCATCTGCTGATGAACACTTAGGCTGTTTCCAAATCTTAGCTACTGTAAATTATGCTGCTATGAACATAGGGGTGCATTATATCCCTTTAATTGGTATTTCTGATTTCTTGTAATATATTCCTGGAAGTGGGATTACTGGTCAAATAGGAGTTCCATTTTTTAATTTTTTGAGGAAACTCCATATTGTTTTCCACAGTGACTGCACCAGTCAATGAAAGTTTTAAATGCACTTGTCTGCCCCTAGCTGGTTTGGCTTAGTGGATAGAACATTGGCCTGCGGACTGAAAGGTCCCAGGTTCAATTCTGGTCAAGCACATGTCCCTTGTTTGTGGGCACATCCCCAGTGGGAGGTGTGCAGGAGGCAGCTGATTGGTGTTTCTCTCTCATCAATGTTTCTGACTCTCTATCCTTCCACCTTCCTCTCTGTAAAAATTCAATAAAGTATATTTTAAAAAATAAAAATAATTGCACTTGTCTGAAATAAACTAAAATAACACAGTAATCATGAATGTCATCTTCAAAAATGAGAACAATAATCTTCACTATATTATTACTGTCCTCATTTCTGTTCACTTGGTTATATCAATAAGTTATTTCTATATGACAAGCCATCCTACAAGCAAATTATCTAAGTAATAATAGTTTAATATGCTAATTACACAGGACAGCCAAAAGACCTTCCGGACATCATTCCAGACATCCTTCTAGACAAAACCTCAGTGGTGGGGTCTGAGGTAGAGTTGGTGAGGGCTGATCAGCCAGGTAGGCAAGGAGTTAGTGGTGATCAGCCAGGCGGGCAGACTGGTTACAGGTGATCAGATAGGCAGGTGAATGGTT